AGAGAGGAGAAATAAAAGCACCACACTATGGGAAAAGTTGGGATATAGAAGAATAATTCAATTTTTCCTGTTGGTCCTATTCTGGGGATTGCTCTTTATCCTGATTCAGCAGATGTTGAGTACGAAGCCTATGCAGACATTTGACCCGTTCGAAATATTAGAAGTTCATATAGGTGCAACAGTGGGAGAAATTAAAAAAGCGTATAGACTTAAATCATTGAAATACCATCCAGATAAAAATCCGAATGACACGTCAGCAGCGGCAAAATTTATTTTAATAACGAAAGCGTATCAAGCATTGACGGATGAAATATCAAAGGAGAATTATGAAAAGTATGGAAATCCAGATGGACCTGGTATGATGAAGGTAGGAATTGGCCTACCCAAGCTATTGATAGATGAAAAATATCAGTTGTTAATATTATCCATTTTTTTCTTAATATTTCTTGTCTTCATTCCGGCCATTTTTATTATATACTACCAAAGACAAAAACAGTATGGGCCCAATGGGGTCAAAATTGAAACCCTGCAATATTTAACGTACACTATAAATGAGAATAGCAGAGCTAAGGCATACCCAGAGATGCTCGCAGCTACGGCAGAAAGTAGGGATATCGAATTTCGAGAGGAGGATGCAGAATATGTGAAGAAAATGATAGACGAATTAGTGGAACCGAAAAAGAGAACCTTCAAAATACCCGTGATAACGAAAAACTACTTCTTAATATTAGCCCATATGCAAAGAAGGTACGATTTATTATCAGAACAAATGAGAGAAGATCTGGAAAAAATTCTTCAATTTTCTTTACTCATAACCCATAGTATGATAGAAATTAGCATTTTAAGGGATTGGTTTTTAACAGCGCAGGCTGCCCTAACATTTAGAAGATGCCTCATACAAGCCTTTGACATTAGAAGTTCAAGTTTGCTGCAAATTCCCCATTTCACTGAAAGTATAATTAAACACGTCCATAAGGGAAAATTCGCTGTGAAGGACATCCTAGATTTTGTCCATCAAAGTCATGAGTCCAGAAAGGGACTAAACGAAATGACCGATGAGGAAATTTTGGACGTCAAATCATTTTGCAGCATTGTTCCCGATATAAAGATGACTGCTGAAATTGTGGTGGAAGATGAGACTCATATTGTGAAGGGGGACGTGGCTTCGATTTACATACATATTGATAGAACCAATTTACATGAAAATGAAGCCGCTGGTTATATCCATGCGCCTTTCTTTCCCCAGCCCAAATTTGAAGAATGGTGGATTGTGGCTACCTACAAGGGAGATGATCGTATCTTAAAATATGTACATGTAAAAAATTGTGAGAAAAAAATTGAAGAAAAATTACAATTTATGGTAGATAGGGTAGGCAATTTGTGTGTGTCCATCTACATCCTCAGTGACTGCTACTTTGGATGTGATAAGAAATTGGACCTGCCATTCAGAGCCTACTCGCAAACAGAGATAAAGAGAGAAATTTTCGTACACCCGGAAGACATCGAGTTGGACAATGAGCCCACCCTCTTCCAACAAATGATTGGGGATATTGGCAGAAGAAACGACAGCAGTGATGAAGAGGAATCCCGCGCCGGTGGCGACCCGAATAGAAGGAACAGCTCCGCGCAAGGGAGCACGGCCACCGCGGCGAATAGCAACAGCCAAAGTAACCAAACAGGCAGTGCGGGAAACGGCCCCAATGGTAACAACAATAATAGCAATAACAACAGTAACAGCAATAACAACAGTAACAGCAATAACAACAGTAACAGCAATAACAACAGTAATAATGACGGCGATGCTGGCGGAGGCGCAAAGCCTCCCCCATCCCAGAGAGCCGTGTCCAGCAATCACGAAAATTACGTGCCGAACGATGACACGAACGAGGATTCGGACGATGACTAGAGAAACGTAGAGCATTCTTGTGCGATGCGAGCTCTTCATCCATGTGCGGTGAAGAGAACCCATCCAATATGACGACGTAGTAAACACAGCATCTGACAAACGAGCCGGATCGCACAACCAAAGGAAAACACGAGTTTGCTTGACGCACCCGTTGTCTCACCAACAAATTTGCATAATTAAGAAACAAAAAAAAAGAAAACATTTTTTTTTAAAACACCAAAGTATATATGTTCATTTAAATTATTCTCCTTTGAACAGAAGTAGGGTATACCCCTTTATATGTGAATTTGTTGTGCGTAGCTGTTATGTGCTCCCGCCATGGGCACCCTTATTTGCACCAGCTTTGCATGCCTGTTATGTATACCCGCTATGCATTCCTCCTATGTATATATTTTTTACGTTCAAACAGAAAAAGCATATTTCATATAATTTTTTTTTTTTTTTTCATTAAAAAAAATTAATATGATAAAAAATTAACTTTGTCTAATTAATGCTTTTAAATTTTAATATTTAGAGGTTTTCACCAAAATGAAAAATGAGATCAGCGCCCCTCTTTTTCTCCCATCAACTGTTGCATCTGGGGTGAAAGGTGGTCACGATAAGGCGTAGATATTACCGGAATTTTTCACCCCATTGCTGATGTAGAAATAGGAATATTTTAGAGCGCAAGGGAAGCATCTTAAAAGAGCACGCTGTAACAACTGTGGGTGCAGTGACAAACATCAATTTTGCGTCGACACATATATATACCCCTTTGGGTGTGTCAATTTTTTTTTTTTCTTTTCCGAATTGAGAAAAAGGCAGAATTGGACAAAAACGGGAATGCCTATTTAAGTAGTTGCGTGTAGAGAAGCGCACAGGTGTATGTTTATGTTTTCGCGTTCTTTCGTCTGGGCCACTGCTCGTGTTTTGCCCACGGGGGAAGAAGATGTTCATATTTCCCACGAAAGCGCACACGCATTTTTGCTTCCCGCTGGCTGTGTTAGGCGAGGAACTTGACCAATTTGCAAGCGCCCCCATGGGGTCAGTTGGGAAAAAATGGGGAGCACTATCAGTGCAAATATGTACTGGGTTACGCACTTATGTACCTACTATGCGTAGAGGGGAAGAGGACCATTTGGGACAGACTTTACAAAGAGTTTAATGAATCAAACACGGCTACTTCCACGCGATCTGATATGACTAAAGGGGGCAGATGTTGACATAAAAGTGTAGTGATCAGCAACTGAACAATTGACTACTCGAATAAAGCGCAACTTTTTTGTGTTACCTTTCTGGACGACAAAACGGAGTTTTTCCGCACCAAATGGGGAATGAAAATTGCATTAAATTCAGATTTTATTTTTTTAAAGACATATTTATTTGTGAATAAAAGGTGCTTTCATAGACACGAGCGTAGCGTGTGAACGAATGGGCAATACTTGGGTGGAAAAAAAAAGAAAACTTGCAAAATTATTATCGATTTTTACGCCAATTTATGCACAACATGTTAAAAAAGAAATTAACACGAGAGAAGCGTAAAAAGGTGTACACACTACATCACCTAGGGACTACACAAATTTGAACATTTCGCAAAGAATTCGCAGTTTGGCGAGGCTTCCCTCTTCCACCAGAAGCTCTCACGATTGGGAATCACGCCACCATGCCAGCATGGGCATAGAACGAAAAGTGCAATTAGCTTTTCTCTTACAGCTTTTCGCTGAGGAAAAAAAAAAAAAAATAAAAAATAAATTCCAGTAAACGCAACGGTATTGAGAAACATTAAACCGATGAAGCGACCCGAGGAAAGCGAAATTTTACAGAATTGTCGTGAAATCTCATTTTGGGGAAAACCCCATTTTTTGGGAAATCTTCTCAACTTTGCGGAACTAGGCCAAGGCAACCCCAACGACAGCAAGATATTCGCACACAAATGGTGCCGAAAAATTGTGGCAATTATTTCTAAAGACATGTCTACTTTGAACCTCTTGGCATTTTTAGCATGTTCAGTAAAGTAAAAAAGGAAAAATTGAAACATGCTGGTTGCTTAAATTTTCGCAAATATTTGCATCACACGTATATGTATATATATATTTTTTTTAACAATGTTGGCATAGTTCGCAAAAATGTCACATTTAAATGGCTAGAAAAAAAAAAGCAATACAAAAAGCAGAACAAAACAGCAAAAGAAAAAGAAAAAAAATAAGAAACAAAGTGTGTACATTTCACACCAACAAACGCTGAACTTGATTAAAATTTATGCTTTCACCATGTGGTTTAAAATTGTCATTTTAAAATTTCTATAACAGCACAAATCTACATTGTAAACGTGCAGGGCAAATGCTTTTTTTTTGTTTTCCTTGGAGCTTCGCGTTACTTCCTCTATCGATTAATTATACCATTGTGAAACGCGCAGTGTGAATTTTATGATTCCCTCCCCCTTTTTCACGTTGCTTCCTTTTTGCCGCTTACCCTTTCTCCGTCTTATTTTTACAAATTTGAATAACGTTTTTCATCATATAAGGATGTGAAGAACAGAAAGGAAAAGGGGGGAAAAAAAAAAAAAAAGAATTTTGATTTTAATTATTTAACTTGTGTCTTCATGCCACCGACATGGACACTGACAAGTCATTGTTTTTATTTTTACACAGATATAATTTTCCTTCACGTGCAAGAAGCACGTTTATTTATCGCCCCCCCTTTATTGTTTCGTTTAAGTAGCTTTATATTTCTCTTTGTTGTAATTTTTGTCACAGTATGTACCTCCGTCTTCGCCACGTCCTTCGAAACGTGCCTCTTAGCTGACATGGCTATCTATCGTGATTAACCATTTATTCCTTCACCTTTTATGAGATAACATTTTAGCCGCACACACAAATCTACTTTTTGTTGTATGGAAAAATTACGCTCAGCATTTTCCCTTTAATTAATTCACCGCCCAGGATTTGTCTGGCCACCGAGAAGAAGTATTTTTAAGAGCCGCTGATCAGCTAGAAAGTATTTGCAGTCACTGCAGTAAGCAGGAATAGGAAAGAATTATTTGGCTTCTAGCAGGTGTAGTCGCCGCCATCTCGCCACTAACTCGCCGCTTATCCACGCCTACCCACCGGCCAAAATGAGCTCCCCCTCGTTTATCATGCCCCACAACCTAATACCCTCCAGCAAGTACCACGAAATTAGAGCCCAGAATGAAGGAAATGCAAAACTGAGCAACCGAGATGTCTACGAGTACCGTAGCAGCAAACTGAGTCCGATGTACTCCAGCGCCACGTTTAAGTCGCACCCACCAATCTACACAGAGAAGGTTACCTACAATCCGAAAGTAGTTAACCCCAATTCAGCGATTCCAAATTATAGCCCACCTGGAGGGAGTGGTCGAAAGGTCAGCTGCATGAATTCATTCCCCTGTTTAAACGGGCAGACTAGGGGGTGCAATGAAATGAACAATGGAACCACAAATGGGACATATAACGGCGTCATTTTTAAGCACCCAAGTGTTAGTGGCTACACAACTGGGTATAATGCTGCCCCAACAAACAAACGATTCGTCAAAAAGGTGAGCAAAGTGCCCTGTCTGTTCAATACCAAACCGGCATTCAGGCAAGACAGTTGCGAAAAAGGGTACAGTGACGTGTCTGGTGTTCCCATCCACTTTGACTCCCCCGTGCATGGCAGCAAAGGGTACGTACAACTAAGTAGGCACGATGAAATGGCAGTTTATAACATGAATGAAAAGAAAAAAAACAAAGACCTAGAAGTGATGGGAAAATTAAACCACGTGGAACCTTTTAAAAAGAGAGTATCAAAGGAAAAACTACCAGAGCCGATCATAAAAAATAAAATTAATGAACTGATAAAAGAAAAGGATGAACAAATAAAGGAATTAGAAATTGAGATCCAAAATGAGAAGAGAAAAAGCGAAATGGTTAGACCACACGGTGCTGAAAACCCCAGGGAGTACGCCAATGTAGAAAACAGAAATCTAAAAGAAAAATTGTTGGACCAAAAAATCAAATATGAAGAAACGCTGAAACATTTGAAAAGGGTAGAACTCGACAGGAGATCCCTAAAATCAAGTTTAAACGTCCGAGATAAAGTCCTGACGAAATTGGAAAATGAAATCGGCTCTGTGGACAACGAAAACGATTTCTTGCTTCGCTTGAAAGAAAACACAAGTCTGAGTGATGTACATAACCTTTTCAAATTTTTGCAAGGCCGAGATAAAGAAGCGGAAGAGGAGAGGTACCACAACTCTGCAAGGACAAATAACGAAAAGGGCAAGGGACTAAACAAAGACAAAGAAAGGAACAAGAGAGTCGATTCATATGCCAGAAGCGACACCTATCGTGTAGACGAAACAGGGCAGGGAAAACATAAGGAGGATGAATTTAGCTGGTACAAGAGCAAAAGCACGTGTGACGATAGTCTCCTGCCATTGGAAGACGATGCATCAGAAGAGAATAGAAATTCATACAAAAAGGGGAAAAAGGTGTCTACGTTTTCCCAGCCGAGTTTCGACAACAACGATATGTATACGCTCAAGTCGACTATTGTCGAGTTAGAAAAGGAAGTGTACGAACTGAAGGAGGAAAATAAAAGTGTGAACTTTAAATACGAAAACACCTTCCAAGCTTTAAGCGAATTGAGGAAGGACACCCTGGAGTACATGGAATCAATCGTCTCACGTGACATGCGCATAGCATATATGGAGAGTATGCTACAGAAGAGCGAAAAGGATCTGGGCAAATTGAAAGAACTTCTAAAAAAACAGCAAGTGCTTTACAGAGAAAAGGTAGATAAATGCACATCGGAGATAAGCATCTTGGAAAAGCAATCTTCTCACCTACAATCAATGATACAAGAAAAAGATTCAGAAATCGTTTTGTTGAAAAATGAAATAATACGAAATGAAATGCTCGTCAGACAGTACGAAGAAAGAAATAAAGAACTGCAAAACGAACTTCGACTAATGTGCAACAATCTAGAAAATGTAATTGACGCATCGAACAAGAAAGACCTGTTCATGGTTGAACTGGAAAAACAAATCAGAGAAAATGAAGTACACAGACAAAATGCCTACCTCAAGGAAGTAGCCAAAAATAGGAAAGTTCAAGCAAATATGAAATTCAAAGAAATTATGTACGATAAATCGGCTAAACACCAGGTGGATGAATTACAGAGCTTGAAGAAGGAACTCTACTTGAACAAAATACAGATGCAGAAAGCCAGGGATGCATTCGAGGTCCTTAAGAAGGTACCAAAGGCAGGATCTCTACGTAGAAGCAAGCAAAACGTCAGCCAAGATAACGACTCCAGCACTGTACACAATTTTACTATGGATAAAAATGATCAGGACGGAGGCAACACCACCTTCGAGGCCAAGGTGTCCTCCGAGACGGCGCCAGCGTACAAGGCGAAGCACTCCGTGGTTAAGAAGAAGAAGCGGGCCCCCAAGGCCAGAACATCAGGGAGTTTATCAGCGAGTTTATCAACGAGTTTATCCGCGAGCATCCAGGATAAGGAGCAAGAAAAGGCACAGGAAAGGGCGCAGCAAAGTGCCCAGGAGACCATTCAAGCAAGCGTTCAAGCAATGGCATAGAGGGGAAAATTGCGGCGGGAGCGTACGATGGAAGCGTAGACCTACGTCATTGCTACGACGTGGCCACATACCGGGCGAATTGCACCTTAGTTGA